GCCCCCCCCCCCCCCCCCCCCCCCCCCCAACGTGACTAGAGGAGGGGGAGATTAGTGGCTTGGCTAGGACACTAAGATGGCCACGTGTATGGGCAGCTGGATCCCCTTTTCTTTCCTTTTTTTTTCTTTCTTTTTTCTTAATATTGCAATCTGGCCCCTAACTATGAAAATTCTTTCAATCATGCCCCCTGAAGCCTTGCAATTTAATCCTTAAACTCCTTTATCATTTCTCTTACAATTCCTTCATACAAAATTAGCACAAAAGTTTAAGTCCGAAAATTAGGATGTTACACTGCTACCAAAATTTGGTACTAGAAACTTATATTTTTTGTTACCAAACATTATTTTGGTAGCTGAAAGCATACTTTTTGCTACTAAATATGAATTTGGTACCAAAAAGACATATATTAAAGATTAAAAAAATAACGTTTTAATGTCAAAAATTATTTAAGAATCATTGTTCTAATAACATTATAACAAAAAATATAGTTTTGAAATTGAGATACATTATTCAAAGTTAAAAATCAATCAAATAAGGAAATTATATACTATTCTATGTGAAACATATACTTAGTTAACAATATCACATATATATAGGGTGGATTTGGTATTGCTTTTAGGAGAGAAAAAGCACTTATCCGGGAATTTTTCTTTGTTCCTCTCCTCTCCTCGCCGTTCGAAGTAGGTTCCCCGGCTCCGTTCACCGGCCTCTCTCTCCGTTCGCCGACTCGTAACTTGCTTTATTAGTAGAATCTGTAAAAGAGTCTGTATTTAGCATAACTCTCCCATTTTTTATCACCCATTCTTATTATGCTACTAAAAAGAATAGTCCCCAGTAGAGGACAATGTGTTTTTGTTATCTCATTATTACTGTTCCACTAAAATAGCATAGTCCCAGTGGAGGACCATTTTTTTTACTCATGCTACTAAAAAACACATAGTACCCAGCAAAGGACCATGTTTTTTTGTTTCTCATTCTTACTACGTATTGTCCCTAGTGGAGGACCATGTTTTTTCGTTACTCTACAGAGGGCAATGAAATCAAGAAATCAATGGTTTAAGAACAAAACGAAATGAAATCAATGGTTTAAGAAATCAATGGTTTAAGAAATCAAGAATGAGGCCACGAGAGTCTTGGACGGCAATGAAATCAAGAACAGAACCAAACACAACTTTTAGTAGCAAAAAATGCTTTTTTGTCACCAAAATAAGAATTTGGTAGCAGAATCATGTTTTCTGCTACCAAAATTTGGTAGCAAAATATGACTTTTTTGCTACCAAAATATTTTGGTAGCAAAAAAGTCATATTTTGCTACCAAATTTTTGGTAGCAGAATCTTATGTTTTTGTTACCAAATATTATTTTGGTAGCAAAAAAGTCATATTTTGCTACCAAATTTTGGTAGCAGAAAACATGATTCTGCTACCAAATTCTTAGTAGCAAATGTTATATGTTTTCCTACCAATAATAATTTGGTAGCAAATACCTCGGGCGGGAAAAAAATTTGCTTCCCGCTAGCTTTTTGTTACCAAAATATTTTGGTAGCAAAAAAGTCATATTTTGCTACCAAATTTTAGTGGCAGAAAACATGATTCTGCTACCAAATTCTTAGTAGCAAATGTTATATGTTTTCCTACCAATAATAATTTGGTAGCAAATACCTCGGGCGGGAAAAAAATTTGCTTCCCGCCAACTTTTTGTTACCAAAATATTTTGGTAGCAAAAAAGTCATATTTTGCTACCAAATTTTTGGTAGCAGAATCTTATGTTTTTGTTACCAAATATTATTTTGGTAGCAAAAAGCTCTTGGCGGGAACCAAAATTATTTTCCCGCCATATTATTTGTTACCAAATTATATTTGGTAGCGGATTGTGTTGTTTTTGCTACCAAATTTGGTAACTAGAGCCTTGATACTTTAAGCTACCAAAGTTTGGTAGCAAAAAATGTGTTTTCTGCTACCAAAAATGTTTTAGTAGCAAAAGGGTTGGTCTCTTAAAGTCACTATTCTTGTAGTGTACCCATGCATGAGTGTTTGTAGTTTTTTGTTCATTCGAATCAAAATTCAAGTTTTTATTACAGTGTTTTCTATCACAATAATACTTTAAATTTAAGTTTTGTTACTACAGTATTTTCTCTCATATAAATTCAATTTTTGACTCAAATTATCAGTTCGAATGAGTAAAACAAACGAGGCCATAGTTTCTAGTCCATTGTTGCCAGGTCATAAGGCTTTCACGTCAAATACAAAGATTATTCTTTACGATTTAAATGATTTCAAGTTTTGTGTTTAGTATTTATCTTTCCCATTGATCGGTAAACTATATATATATGTCTAAAGTGCAACTTAAAAGGCGCTTTAAAGTACTGGCACTTTAGGCGTTTGTGTTCTGGCAACCGATATTGAAGATTGTGCTTTCAATGTCATTTTTATGCCGACCTTTTAATAGTGACGACCAAAACTCCAATTTGAAAAAGTGTAAAAAAAAAAAAAAAAAAAAAAAAAAAAACCTTCGTATTCTTTAATATAAGCAATGATTTTTTTATTTACTTTGACTGCTTTTATTCCGAAAAAGAAATAAAACAATAATATACTTTAATAATATTACACATAGGAAAAATTGTAAATTAATTAATTAATTAATTGCAACTAATTTGTTATATGAAAGGAACTAGGAGAAACTCTAATGTTAAAAGCTTCCAGAGAAATTGATAAAAAGTTGCGCTTGCTTCCTGCATACATAATAAAACCAAACTTGTCTCAATATCAACAGTTCTTCATTACTCACTGTCACAACATGTAGTTGAGTTGAAAGACCAAAAGGGCATATTATAACCCTAAAAAAAAGAAACATATTATATAATTACCTTGACATAATTTGCTTTGTCTAGTTTTTTAACCTGTAAAGTGAAAAAAACAAGAAAAATAAGTTTTAAGAGAGTATTTATTTTTATGTTTTATTTTTACTTGATTTATGTATAACAAACCTGAAAAAGTAACCATAAGACAAGTATTGAGTGAGCAGGAAATATTATGTGCCACTTGAAAGCCTGTAAACAATAAATAAAAGAACTTACTTATCAATTCTTAGTCTCCACATCAAGAATGACCAGTTGAAAGGAAAAGATTAAAAAAAAAAAAACCTTCATGTGATCTTTTCAAAATGTTTGTACTATTTTTTCTGTCTATTTTCCATAATTAGTTAATGGTTTACTCGGCTATGTTCATAATCTTATCCGTACAATTATTAAGACTAAATTGCTTATTGAGTGTAAAATTATTTATTTATTTTTTTATACGGTGTGAGGCATATGGCTCCCATTAATTAATGAAAATGAAACTGTCTGGATTGAAACTCTAGTAGAAATACGTAAAAAAAAAAAAAAACCTTCATGTGATCTTATCAAAATGTTTGTACTATTTTTTCTGTCTATTTTCCATAATTAGTTAATGATTTACTCGGCTATGTTCATAATCTTATCCGTACAATTATTCAGACTAAATTGCTTATTGAGTGTAAAATTATTTATTTATTTTTTTAATACGGTGTGAGGCATATGGCTCCCATTAATTAATGAAAATGAAACTATCTGGATTGAAACTCTAGTAGAAATACGCACACACTCACATATCCACCACTTCAAGGAAAAAACATATAAGCATTTTTCTGAAAAATAATCAAAGATTTAGTTAACTTGAATCCTCATTTTTATACTTAATTTTAAGTCGCCATCTTCTATTAATAGGTATGTGAGACAATTTTTAAAAGCTTATTAATAAATAAACGACAACTAAAAAATTTAGTACAAAACTTGATATTAGAGTTATAGTGTCCTCCATATAAAAAGAAATATAAGTAACCATTAAAGATGAATAACTAAAATTACCTGGGGCATGTAAATAGCAACAGCAAAAGCACCAATATAATTTACCAGCAAAATTCCCATGCCAAGAAGTGTCATATTTTTAGGTCCGAACATTGCCGCAAATGTTTGAATGTTATGCCTACATTAATGTTTTAATATTATTTTAAAATATAGTGAATATACAAGCAAAAAGAAGTTGTGAGATTAAAAAGTGACAGATATATAAAATATTAAGATTTTGAGTTCGTTAGATGCCACAAGAGAAACATAAAACTTACCTCATATCAGACATAGAAAATATTAAGATTTTGAGTTCGTTAGATGCGACAAGAGAAATATAAAACATACCTCATATCACCTTGCACGTCTTCAATGTCTTTTATGAGGCAAGTTACCACGAAAAACAATGCATTAAAGGTGAGGATGAAAACAACTGGGGGACTGCAAGGAAAGCCAAACATGAGATTTCTGTAAAAGGTTGAGTTAATGTGTATGCAGATATATGTAGGTTTATAGTCATACAAAATTGCCTAGTCAGATAATTCTTTTAGTTTTTTTTTTCTATAAAAAAATGTTAAACGGTAATTTAGGTACAAGTTTTCTATGACATTATCTCTTGTTGACCATCAAATGCCAATTAATGTTGTAACTAAGAAATTTCGTGCACTAACAAGCCCATATATAGTAGGACATTTCCATCGTTTTATAATTAATTATTAAGCAAAAACATCTGGAAAGTTAACATGGAATAAATTAAAGTAATTATATATACGTCACACTCAACTGCTACAAAGTTTATGTATATGGAATTTAACTACCATGTAGAATTTTCTAAATATATATATATATATAATGAAGGTTGAAGGTGGAATTTGAATTATACTCCAAATGTAAATGTCAAGGGACTAATAAAAGCACGAGTGAATTCACTCTACGTATTATAATAAAAAAAAAAAGCATTTGTAGAGACAATTTTAGATACAAATCTTATTTGGTCTCTAAAAGCATGGTTTGGTGACTAAATACAAATTGTTTATAAAGTTTTTGTCTTTTTTAAATTTACTATAAGTAAGATTCTCTCTCATAAATCACAACTATTTTTTTTGTTTTTTTTTGTTTTTTTTTTGCTGAATTAAATCACTACTTGGCTACGCATGAATCAACACCAAAGTGGGCTTTGAATTTCAGATCAAAAAAACAAAAAGTGGACTTTTAATTATATTCCAAATAGAAATGTCATGCTACCAAACGACGTGATATGACTTAATTAGTTATATATAATATTATCTCATAAATTATAACTACTTAAGCTATAAGTGAATTAAGATTAAATACAATCTATGCTTTTTTAACTACTTAAGAAATTCTAACAAGTTTTGTGAACAACCATAACAAGCGACAGTCGACAAACTTGTCCATATCCGAAAGTTCTTTAAAATTATATAGTAAATCAAATCCGACAACAAATCAACAAGAATGTCTAAGAAAATCGAAAACCAAAGCTTAAGTTAAGAATACTATCAAAACATGAGTCCATCATATATCTGCATAAAGAAATAATTTTAGAGCTCCATCATACAGCAAGATCTAATCCTAACAAAACTAACTAAGAAGACGCCCTAATAAAATTTTGATATTGAAAATTATTTAGTAATTGATAAGATATTACACCAAAAATTACTTTGAAGGAGAAAGAGCAGGAAATCAAAATGTTTTTTTAAAAATTTAAGAGTTTGTTACATGTACCTCAACCGGAATGGAAGTCCAAGAGAAGCCATGGTGGCATAAATTACACCGACATTGTTAATGATAGTGCTCTGCAAAAGTTTCTTTTGTTATACAAATTTATCATTTTTTCCTTCAAAAAAGATATATAATAAAAGAATACGATGGTTTCTTTTTTTTTTTTTTTTTTTTTTTTTCACAGTGTACAATATATGACAAAGAAAAACATTAACTTCACAAAGTATACTCGTTCTGTCTACTAACTCACAAGGGGTCCTGTGATCCTAAACAAAATTTAATGTGATAAAATCACATATACTAATTGATTCCGAATTAAAATTTTCAGATTTATCTAAATACATTTTTCATGTAATTTTTAACTTTTTTTAGGACCAATATATTTCCAATGATCTTATGAAATTAATAAATTTAAACAAAACTGTATTGCAACATTCCGAGGAATGGAAGAAAATAATATACCAATGGAATCGTAATAATTGTTGCAATAGCAGATCCCTTTAATCTAAATGGAGGTGCAGAGTACATGGTGGCCAACAAAAGACCAAAACAGTAGAGACAAGTTGTGATTGGGTCGGCGTTCATCAACCATAAAATTAATTGGCCAGCAAGTACAAAAAATGCCATCAAGAACCATGCTTGTGTTAGTGAAAAATCCCCAGCTGGTATTGGCAAATAAGGTTTATTCACCCTATAAAATATGACACAAAGAAAAATAAGTTAAAAAGTTTCTAGCCACCAATTTAGAAAAAAGTTTATAAAACAAATAAAAGGATAAAATATACACTAATTTTGAAGAAAAAAAATACCACTTTGATTATAATTGTCAAAAGTTAACAACCAAGGCTAACACATTGAACACAAGATGGTTGTAGCCTTGTACTCGAAGAACTTCTAACCAGGAAATATGGGTACGTACTCAGAAACCATTATTTGTGTGATTTTCTTAACTCATATTTTGATTTAAATGCAGCTAGTTTAAGTTTAGCAGATTGTTTGCCAATACATACATACATATATATATATATATATTAATTGTCAAGAAGTGTTGATATAAATAAAGAAGCATACCTATCAATATCAGCATCGAAAATCTGATTAATACCATAAGTATAAGAGTGCGCAAGAATCATAGCAATTAGACCTGGAAATGCTTTTAACAGCAGAGACCATTTAAACAATTGTGGGTTCTCAACTAACACTCTTGTGAAGAAAGAGCTGCGAAAAAAAGAGAGATCAATAAATTACTATCATATGCAATTGGATCTGAAAATAAAGAGATTAATTTCTCGTGTTGTGAATCATTTTATATATATATATATCCCTAATTTTCAGTAAATGTTTACTTACACGGACGATACAATTACTTGAAGCATCGCATAGGGCCTTATGAATTTATAGCATGTAGATCCAAAATGCAACACTTTGGCAAATTTCGAATTTGGACCAGCTGCTTCATGCTGAGCCTTGCCAAGTTCAGCACATGCCTAGAACCATTAGTTCAATTTATAAGTTTAATTGAAACTAATTAGAACAACTAAAGTAAGCAAATCACAATAATATTTATAGTACACATAACTAATGAAATATGGTTTTCAATAAAAAAAAGAAAAAGAAAAAGAAAAACAAATAAGAAACACCAAAATGGTTTTGCAGACAAGCCCTCAACAATATCCTAAAGATCAGGAAACGGTCTTCCGGATTACCTCCTAATGGTATTATATTTTAAATTAATTTGAAGTCTTGAATCACTTTGAATCAAGAGAGGGTGGTTTAAAAATCATGAGTGATTCTTGTTTAAAACATCACATCAGATTCTGAATCATGATTCAGAATCATCTAAACTAAACACTGATTCTGAATCATGATTCAGACTTATATTCATAATTACTATAAATAAACACTAATTCTGAAAAGGATTTACAATCATAATTATAGATTCATCTACCAAGCGAACCCTTTGCATTTTATTTGAACCGGTAGAACAGGAAAAAAAATCTGGCTCATATCTTCGTCACCTAACATTTACGGAGTCAAAAATCATCTGAGCCCAGATACGTAAATTTAACCTCCTTAAGTGCTAGATGAGCGGACCCTAATAGATGGTTGTTTGTTGATATATCTATCACCACCACCGATGGTTTCATGGATGCAAATCCATACACGATGATGCATATACATAATATATATATATATATATATATCTTTCTAATTATATCCCAATTCCCCCATAGAGCAAAAATTAAAATTGTTCAAGGTACGTATCCCATTTACTTCATTATAGATAAGGTAAAAGTGAAAACTATTCACGAGAGATTCTGAGTTCAAGGCTCCGTAAATGCACTCTTTATCCTAATTTTAAATTATCATCACGTATTGAGTCTTTAATATATTTCGGGCTTAAATATTCACGTGTTGAGCTTTCTAATTAATTTACCCATACAATTGTCCATTATCCAACCCACACTTGAGGAGAAGTGTTAAAGTATTAAATTATTGTTGGTTCACCTCTTAATAGCTTAAGCTTTTAGGATGAATTAGTAAACTGACACAATATCTTAATACAGGATGATAATGATTCACAATTTTGCATTATTTCTATTACTAAAAAGTGAACATGTCAAATAACGTGAAGTTGCAAAGAAATAAAAGTATACCCGGATGAAATTAAGCTTCTGATGGCCGAACAATAAGGATTTTGGGGTACTGTTCTCCCCATAAAGGCCCATTGGCTGGATCAATTTCTTGGTGGAGCATTTCAAAGGAAAGTTGGCAGATTCGATATATTTGGTTGTGGGCTTATTTGGTAAAAACCTATTGACATGATAAGAGGCTTTGCAATGTTGAGAGATAATAGCTGGTAATCTAAGCGAACAGTAGATTGAGACCTCCATGAATGTTTACTGAAACGACCAGGGAATAAAACGAAAAAGAACAAACTAGAATAAGAAAGAGGAAAAAGGGTCGAAACAATGCTTCAAGCACTTGGAAATTTATAGAAGCATGCCAAAGTTTACTTGTCATGAACGTATAAATTTGACTACTTTTCTATTGACAAACTATTGACTACGATATATTGACTATTGACTAATATATATTGATGATTTTTCTATTGAATATATTCCCCTCTCTCTCTCTCTCTCTCTATATATATATATCTTTCTAATTTTATCCCAATTCCCCCATAGAGCCAAAATTAAAATTGTTCAACGTACGTATCCTATTTACGTCATTTTAGATACGGTAAAAGTGAGTAAACAATATCGGATTAATACAGGATGACAGTGATTCACAATCTTTCAAATATAATTAACGCAACCTCTATAACGGAATTCCATAAAAAAAAACCCACTTGTAGAACTTTCAGTTTTAAAAGTTAGAGTTAATTTTTTAATTGTTAAATCTGTACAAATCCATATTAAAATTGACAACATGCTATATAGATGTCCATACTGTAAATTTAGCCGTTAAAAAATTAGTCCAATAGTAAAAAAGTAATGCTCCATTGGAGGGGTTTTTTTTTTAAACCCCTTTTTTAAAATTTTTGTTCGCCGTTTCTCTTCCTTTTTTTTGTCTGTGCTCGATTTGTTTAAATTTTTTAAAAATGTTATTTTTGGGTCTGGGTTTTTCGTTTCGTTTTTGCTGTGTTTTTCCCTAAAATGAACATGTTGTGTTTGATGTTTTCCCATTTTATTGTTTCGTTTTAATTCTTTATCGGTGTTCTTTTTTTAAAGTTCTTTTTGCAATTTTTCTCATTGGGTAATAGCTAGGGTTTTCCCAAAAAAATTTGCAAACGCTTTATTCTCTTTTCCTACTTATTGATTTTTCCAGAAAGTGCTTCTTATGTAGATTGTTCGATTATTAATTTCTCTTGAATTTCATGCAGTCAGCAGATAAATATGGATTTTTTTCCTGCATTTAATGAGTTGATGATCTGTGATATATAGACCAGTGATTTGTCTTCCTAGCCTGATCATTTGTATTGTGTTTACTCCAAATGTGTTAATTTAATTAGTGTTTTTTTTTTTAAATTATCTGAAATATGGAAAAAATTTAGGAAGAAAAATATATTTCCTAGTTTCTTTTTTGTTCAGCCTTTTTTTTTTTTTTGTCCCTCTCTACTATGAAATGGTTATTATCTAAGTTTTTTCCATTTTTTTTCTTTCTCACTTTCTGGCTGTAATAATATTTTGGTCTTATTACCTAATTAGAGGTTTTAATTCCTGGATCTTTTTAGACTCGTATGACGTGTTGTATTGTTATAGGCTATCAAGTGTTTTAAGTCGGTTCTTTTTTTCTCTATTAATTAATATGTGCTGCTGCTGGATGTGGATTTATTTTGTGTATTGGTGGTCTTTTCTCCTACACTTGATTTTTTTTCTATTTCACTCCCTTTTCTATCACTACCCTACTTCACTTCTGAACATTTATTCACTACAAGAAAAAAGGCTTTTCGTAGCGGTTAGTTATAACTGTTCTCAAAAAACATTACTGTTAAAGTCTATAATAGCGTTTATAAAGAATTATAATATATATATATATATATATTAAAATTTGTTGACATTTTGACTGATTTATTTTATATATATTTAAAAATATATAAATATACATATTACAATTACATTAAGCGGGCATTGAAAATAAATTTTCTAATTTTCCTGCTTGCTCCCTCCCCTTTTTTTGCTGCTCTGAAATGCGTGCATTAAAATAACATTGGGCATGTAATGGAAAAATTGTTTCCCCAAATTTTCAAATTCCCGCCATTCCATTTACAGTGATTGTGGGCGGACGTTTTCACCCCTGTTTTTTTTATTTTTTCCTTTGCCTTTGCCGTGGGCCTTTTTGTCATTTTGCGCTATGTTGCCCTACTCCTCTTTTCTCCTTTCATTTCTTCCTCCTGTGCCGTTTTTCCTCCCTTTTTTTCCTCTGCTTCTTCTTCTCATTTGATTCCGTTTTGTTCCATTGTTTAGTTTTCCTCTATGATTTCGTTGTCTTTGCATCTTCGGTGGGCTTTAAGTGTAAATTTGGGATTTTATGGTTTTTTTGTTAATTGTTCTATATTTATTAGAATCTTTTGTTCATAGTTTTTGGTTATTTTTAATTTCACCTCCGATTGAAATTTGGGTTCGAATCTGATTTTGTAGTTTTTGGTTAGCTATGAGTGTAAGCTTTGCTAGACTTTGCACAACAATGAGGGGAATTGCTTGGCCCACACTCAGGGGAAGCGCCACCAGATGAATTTGGCCAAGAGGGTGGCTCGCGAGGCCAAGGAGGCTCCTGCTCAGCCTCAGCCCCATAAGCGCAAAGTCCACATTCGGAAGATAGGCATGTCTTCCTTTCTTCTCATTTGTGCTGTCTTCCTTTCTTCTCATTTGTGCTTTAGTTTTTGCTCTTATTGTCATTTTGAAAAACAGTTGGTGGGTTGGAAAGTTTCCTCGCATCCCGCCTCTCCGGATAGGCCCGCCCTCCTCTCTCCGATGACTACGCCTCCGCCTCGTGCAACATTGGTCAGTTGTTGTTTTTCCCCCAAATTTCCTTTCTTGCATTGTGCTTGTTTGGCGCTATCTGGATTTCGCCCTAGGGTTCGTGGAAATTTTCGATTTGGTCTGGTTTATGGATTTTGTCGATTGCAGTTTTTCAGAAGTTGGAGATTGATTATGTGATTGGGGAGAGCCACCGGGAATATTTGCCTAATTCTTCGGGACCAGCCACCATTATCAGAATCTTTAGAGTTACGAGAGAAGGTGAGTTATTTTTAGGCATTTTATGTTATGTTGATGTTTGTTTACTGAGAAAGTTGTGTCATTTTCTTTTTTAATTTACTTCTGAACTCCTAGACTTTGTAAAAATGACACTAGATTTAGCTATACAAAAAGAGCGCTTTGTTTGAGCTGCAAAGGAAGCTACACTACTTCTGGTAAATTTGTTTTCTTCATACAAGAAGTTGACTAAAATAGTTTAAAAGAGAAAAGGATATGGTGGCTAAGAGTTTGGCCTAGTTTGACTAGAAATAGAGTTGGATAGAATTCTGGTAGAAATCTTGCTCATTTTTAAGTCTTTTACATGTTCTGTAAATGGCTTTAGCATAAGGGAGCTCTTGTAGTTATGTTAAGGGTATCTTGTAGCACTTCAACAAAACTGAAAGATGTTAACCTTTTGTTTTAGTTTTTATAGACTTTTCGTTGTTACCGACTTTACCATACAAAAGTAGTATTCTTGGCGGAGAAAAGACTAGGTCTAATTATCTCTTAGTGCATGAAATTCATATGTGTGCAGAGAGTTTACTACATTATCTTGCAGAGAATGTCATGTGTTGGGACTGTATGTGGGGTGAGGAACTTATAGAATATGTCATTGGTTTCTTCAAACCTAAAAACATGAGGATTGATGTGGTATCAAAGTCTTTTGATTCAGAAGGTAAGCTTTGTGTGTGTGTGTCAAACGGGTGGGTGGGTGGGTATCAAAGTCTTCTGATTCAGAAGGATTGTGGGTGTGTGTCTTCCTGGTGCTAACCTTGTCAAAGATGTCAATGTAAAGAATAAGATGGAAAAGAACTCAATTGTTGAGGTAATGCATTGATAGATCTCTTTAATAAAAGAACTAAAGTGCTCTTGCTCACAAGTTTTTGCCTTTATAGTAAAATTTGTTCTGCTGTTCACTTGTATGGTTTATCTGGTTTTTTCTTTTTGTGCTTCATTAGTTAATCAATTTATATGTTTTAATTAATTAATTGGACTAATTTTGTGACAGGACAATAGTTGCTTTGTTGGAGGAGATGACCTTTTTGTTGGAGCATTTTGTCAAGATGGATTATTTACTTAACCATTTCATTTGGCTAGACGTTTTGAATATTTTGATATCTCTAGTTATTTCTCTGTATTCTTTACTAGTTTTTAATGTTAAAGTTGTGGACAAATGGTGTGGCTTGTGTTGTAAACATCTTATTGGCAACTTTGTAGATATTGATAACAATTATTACATTGAATGTTTTCATGTTTTAATTTGAATGTTTTTATGTTTTAATTTGAATGTTCGTATTTAGATATAAGATGTTGCTCGGAATCACTATCTATTAAAATGAATTCAAAAGGATATCAATAATAATTTTAAAAAGTTACAACAGTATGAACATAACAAGGAAAAAAAGTTATTAATCTGTATCGTAGTTATGCTAAAGAGCTGTAAGAGGATGAAAATAACTTTTCTTACATGCTATAATACTTTAATTCTATAGCGCTTTTTATAACTCTCCTGAAACGCTATGTTTTCTTAGGACCTATAATAGCGCCCGTTGTCCTAGCGCTCTAAAAAGCGCTATTAATAGTGATTAATAGCGTTTTTCGTCAGCTATAAAAGGCCTTTTGTGGTGTAGTGATTGTTCTTCCATCATTTACTCCTCTACCACTATATCCTTCTTTTTTTTCTACTGCCTTGCTTAAAGTTTAATTTGCTCAAATTTTAAGGCAACATTTACACCGTTTCGAGTACCATCAATAACTTCTATCTACAAATTTTTAAAATGTAGTGCTGATATTAAATATATTGGCATGCTGTAATGTTCTTTAACATGACTTGTTTGTTTTTTATGATTTCTGTTCACATAAGTTTTTATTATGTTGTTAATAAATGTTAGTAATGTATAGTTCTTAGAAGAATCCTGCTTCATTGTTAATCAATATTGTTAAGATATTGATTTCCTGTTTATTGGTTTCTCATGTATGTATGCATTTTATGTATTTTATTGTTGTGAATGTATCTTTTTTAATTGGATTTTGATTTCCTGTATTCTTTTTGCCTAAAATTTCTTGATTATTCTTTTTATGTTCTTCCTGCTTCTTCTCATGATATTGACTTTCTCGTGATTTATTTTTAGTACTCTCTATTTATATATATATATATATATATATGTGTGTGTCGTTATTTAACTTATTTTTGCTTTAACTGATTTTTTAATGTGGCGATGATAGTTATTATTAAAGTTTACACGTTGAATTTTATGTAATTGTTAAAAATTGCTGTGATTATGTTTTCCTTCTTTGATCGTGATTTTGTTCATTTTTTTTTTAATATATCTTCTGTTTTTGTTCTTTATTTTGGTACTATTCACTCTTTGCTATTACTATTTCGTTGAAAACTTATTCAATCATATATCTTTCTTACTTGGATTCTGATTTTTGACTAAAAGTTTTTGCCTATCTTTTTTATAGTTCTTTCCAGCTAAAAAAAAATAAAATAAAATAAAAAATAAATAAAACCTATCTTATTGCAGTTTATTCATGGTCTTAAGTTATATTGTATTTTTTGTTCTTTAGTTTTCATTCCCTTTGATTAAGAGTTATCGGCTTTGCTCTTTTCCTTTATTTCTTGAGCATTAAACCGCCACTGCTAGGAACATCTAGATGCACACCTGGAGAACAAACCTATCAATTTCCACATAGTTGCGTGAGTTATTTGCTATAAAAAGATACATAAGTAATCGATAGATTGTTACAATTACTTTTTTGATCAGCCATTATACAACTGTTTTTATGACTCTTTAGTCATTATAGTTTAGTCATTAATGTAAGCTACCAAGGAAAAAGAGCAAAAACGACAAAATTTGTTAGCTTGAAGAGCTATATATATATATATATATATAAAAGAGCAAAAACGATCAAAATGTTAGCTTGAAGAGTTATATATATATATATATATAAAAGAGCAAAAACGATCAAATATGTTAGCAAAAACGATAAAGAAGAAACCCTAGAAAAAGTTCTAATATTACATTTTCAAGGTGACGACTTCAATAATTTTGATAAGATTATCGTCGCTCTATGCTTGTTGTGCTGCTTTTCTACCAAGAAGAAGAATGTATATTGATTACATTATTTAATTATATTTCCCCTTATTTAATTATCAATCTCTATGCTAGTTGTGCCGCTTTTCTACCAAGAAGAAGATTGTATGTTGATTACATTATTTAATTATATTCCCCTTATTTAATTATCAATCTTATTGTGTAGAAAAATCTAGGTGACACGTGGGATAGCGACAGCGTTACATGTGGCCCTTCTTCTCCTCACAAAGCGACAACCCTCAACGCCTGAAGCTCACTTCCCCTTTACGATGCGAAGAAAGCCCGCCTTAGGGCGTCGACCCGTTATGCCGTCGACCCTATGACTTGTGCAAATTTCTTATGCCACGGAAAGATTGGCGGCCATAAGAGGGCACCGTGCGCTCAGCGTAGACGTCGAGGGAAGAGCATGGGAGGTGACGCCCGTATCTCGAGAAAAGTGTCTGACACAACCAAGTTGCGTCTGGCACTGGGAGATGTCTGTAGTGCAGACATTAATTACAAGCCGCTAAACCGCCCAACAGTGAACGGTGGAGGGTTACAGGGAGTCTACAGAGCCGTAATGGAAAACTAATTAGATGAGTGTATAGCTCAAAAGGTGATTAGTGGGCTACAGTCTGAGCCTATGAGGGTAGGCCACTCGAGTGCTTCTGCCTACGAGAGGAACCGCCCACGAAGGAACCCTTTGCTATAAAAGGGGCAAAGCCCCAAACGAGTAAAGAGGAGGATTTTCCTTTGAGTTTTCCTCATTTCATATTCAACCTGAGAGTTAAAAGGGAGAGTAATTGTAAAGAATCCAAAAGAAATACAAAGAAAAGTGGATGTAGCCTTTCATTAATAGAGTGAACCACTATAAACTTTGTGCCTTTATTTTCATACAAGCACAGCCCGCCCATTATATTTACCACAAACTTCATACACACTTTACTACATCATTGTCAATATCAAATAAACGCTTTTTAGCCGGTAACCCGACAGGATACCTAAAGGTGACCCGGCGTAATCCTGTTGACAAAATTTCATCGTCAACAATTGGCGACTCCGCTAGGGACCGAACCCAAAATCTCTGGTTAAGCCATTTAACCCCAACCACAAGGAAATAGGCACCGACTATGCCTCCAAGAAGAAAAGACACCGCCATCAACCAAGGTAGCCAGATGGAGGAAAGCACGACGCACCCGGCACGTGACAGAGACGGAGAGAACCAACCCTTGGTTCGGAATGAGGCACTGCCCCCGGATATGCCACAACCCGATCCAGTACATATGCAGGCCCAGCTTACCCTGATTGACGTGGTGCTGGGGCTAATGACCATAGTCGAGCGATTGGATGGGAGAAACTCAATGCCGCCTCTAGAAGACGCCTCGAGACCACCGGGAGCTGCCATGGTCAGGAACCAAAATCATGGTGACCACCAAGGTGCCACGGAAGGGATCGGGGATAGTGAGAATATTAGAGGTAATCCGAGGCCTCGACTGTCACAATCCCTCGACAGTCGTCAAAGGGCCGCCAGACGCTGAGCCCAAGGGAAAAGGGTAGTAGGCCTGGCCAACCCCGCAGCGCCATCCCAAAACCCAGATGAGAATCTCCCTGGAGATTCAAGGTCGGTGCGAGAGGGCGATGAGGCAAGGCATGGGCCAAACACACAGAGGGTGGAAGCCTCAAGGGGCGTCGGCTCTGTAATTTTGACTGAGGAGGCACGGGCCATCATGGAGCACATGATGAGCCTGGAGTAGAAGTTCATAGGTGATGTTGCTGGTCTCAAAAAGAACATAGGACAGGTGGCAGAGGTGGTTAACGTCGACATCACTCCCAGCCTGACACACGACCATCCATTCACCGCTGAGATTATGGCGCCACCTCTCCCAGACAAATACAGGTCGCCGTCGATCCCACCTTATGACGGCAGAGGGGATCCAGATAACCATCTGGAAATGTACACAGGGCATATGCTTCTGTATGGATATGCTGAGGAAATCATGTGCCGAGCCTTTCAGAACCATATAAGATTCAGCCCGAAGATGGTTTCGTACGCTCAAACCAAACTCCATCTCAAGATGGGATGAACTAAAGAAGGCCTTCTCCCTCCAGTTCATTGGAGTAAAGAAGTATGTCCCACCAAAGTAGAACTTGACGATGATATCTCAAAAGTACCTCTCCCAGACAAATACAGGTCGCCGTCGATCCCACCTTATGACGGCAGAGGGGATCCAGATAACCATCTGGAAATGTACACAGGGCATATGCTTCTGTATGGATATGCTGAGGAAATCATGTGCCGAGCCTTTCAGAACCATATAAGATTCAGCCCGAAGATGGTTCCGTACGCTCAAACCAAACTCCATCTCAAGATGGGATGAACTAAAGAAGGCCTTCTCCCTCCAGTTCATTGGAGTAAAGAAGTATGTCCCACCAAAGTAGAACTTGACGATGATATCTCAAAAGTCAAACGAGTCATTAAAAGAATGGCTGGCAAGGTATGGGGAAGCCGTCGCTGCCACGACGGACATAACTGATAGGGAGGCTCTGTCCAGGATGAAGAAAATTACCCCATTCAAGCGGGATCTAAACCATAAGCCACCGTCGACTTATAAAGAATTCCTGGCGCGAGCGCAAGGATACATTAACGCCAAGGAAGCTTACGCCAACGATCCTGACCATCGATCCAATAAGAATAAAAATTCAGAGCAAAGGTCGACACTAGGAAAACAAGACAAGAAACAACGAGGCGGGGGAAACGGACACAAGCAAACAGCCTCGACGTCAAACCCCCCTGAGCCTAAGAAGCCGAGAAGAAAGCCGTAAACCTCGACTGTTTCAAAGGTACGACTCTTACCATGAGCTAACAGTAGGAGTCGAGGTAGTATTTAACCAGGTCAATCGAGGGAACTTGCTGCGCCGACCAGAACCAATGAAGTCGGATCCCAGCCGAAGGAACCAGAACAAATTCTGCAGGTTC